AACATCTATTGCCAATCCTCCTCCTTTTTTTCCCCAAAGCCCCAGTAGATAGTTGTATGTCATAGTTGCACATCCTTCTTAGTTGCTGTATGTGGGACGCCGCCTAAGCACGGCCAGACAAGCTGTGCGTCATTGCGCATCCAGGATCTGAACCCAGGCCGCCAGTAGTGGAGTGCGCGCACTTAACCGCCAAGCCACGTGGCCGGCCCCCAAGATACAGATTTTTATAAGCCAGAATACCAACCAGCTACTCACACCTTTTCACATTTGAACAAGTTTCTTTCTTTCTGCCCTTTCTTCTTCACCTGTGATATAACATTATTATTTTTATGTTTAGTAGTAATTGCTTAATTTTGGTAATGTAGACATGTAATTGATTATTCAGTGATGAATTTCTTAAGATATTTCTCACTTTGACAGGATATGAAATATCCTTCTGGCTCTTTCAGTAAAATTTCTTGAATATATTTAGTGTGTTTTGGCAGCATTTTCATATGCTACAAAAGCAAAATCCTCTGATGTTTTAGTGTAGCGCTTTAGAAAGAATGGGAGGGGTAAGGATTGTGCAAGTCGTATTCCTGACTCTTTTCTCTGAATTTCATGTTTTCACCTTCCTTTTGGAATAGTAATATTTGTGTGATTTCTACCACTTGTAAGGGACTAATCCACATTATTACACAAAACACAAAACCTTCCACAATTTGAATAGTGAAGAGCTCTGAAGCGGATCTTTTTTCTTTAGAATTCTTTTATCAGACTTTTCTCCTGGAATTTTTAAGTTTATCACTGCTTAAACTTGGGAAGATTATGTATTTTTATTCAATCGGGAAAGAATCTTTTAACACATTACATGGAAATACTTTAATACATTCTTAAATACTTGTTCATATTTCTGTGATTGTAAGAAAATTTCTTTTTCCAGTTCCACATATATGGAACTTGGAATGTAAGAAATTTTTAAAGCACATCATTAACTAATTTGTTTTAATTAGTTATTTTAGCATTTTAACTATTTAGCACTACTGATTATGTATATAATAGGAATGATTATATAATTATTATAATATCTATCATTTGTTGAGCGTCTTTTTGCTGGACATTATACTAGACACTTTTGTCAGTGGCATTCAACCTTATTAGACCCAAAGCCCTCTTTTATAACAATTTTCAAAATAACATCAACTTATATTGTCCTGAAATGAAATTCACAGATGATATAACCTGCCTGTACCCACTTAAAAAAAATCAATATAATGTCTTAACTGTGATATAAAGGAGGAATAAAAGTTATTTATAATAAGATAATATATGTTTCACTATAAAAGTACCCAGGCACATCCATATTAGAAGACAGAATGAAGCAGTCCGGTGTTTACCTAAATGTAGACTTACCAGGAGTGCAGCAGCTGCAAACACAGACCAGTGCAGCCATGTTGTATGGATGATCCAGCACTGCAGCTGGTGACATGATTTTCTGAAATGGTGACCAATTTCTGATAAAGTTCTGAAACAAACTTAAGATCTTGGTAGTTGCATTCCTGGATAATTTGGTGATTTGAAAAATGTATGTGCAAAATGTATGTTATTTTTATAGTATAAAATGGACACAGGACAGTTCTTCGTTGTGGAAGACTTGTCCTGAGATTTGCATCCCTGGACCTTGCCCACTAAATGCTAGTGGTGTTCCCCCATCTTTGTGACAACTATGACCTCACAGATTTTCAAAATATAGTTCCCCCATTGAGATCACTGCTTTACCTTCCATGCATGTTTAAACTTAGAATTTGATTGTCCCAGCCATCTTGGAGGCTGTTATTCCACCATTATTATTCGTGTTTTATAAATTAAGAAGCTGACGCACAAGAAATTAGGTTTACTTGTTCAACGCCACACAGGGTGTTAGTGGAGAGCTGGGAGTCAGACCTAAGATGTCAGAGCCTACGGGATATTTACCAGGCCAGACTGGAAATCCCATTCAGGCTAACAGCATCAAAAGACTTCATGTAGGGGGACGGCCCCTTGGCATTGTGGTTGTTTGTTGCACTCTGCTTCGGTGGCCCGGAATCATGGGTTTGGATCCTGGTTGCAGAGCTACACCGCCTGTCAGCCATGCTGTGGCGGTGTCCCACATGCAAAGTAGAGGAAGATTGGCACAGATGTTAGCTCAGGGCAGATCTTCTTTGGCAGAAAACAAAAAACAAAAAACTGCGTGTAGGGGAGAACTTTAATTAGATGCCATGTTCTCCAACAATATGTAAAATGCAGGTCACATAAATCATGTTAGTTTGAAGTGAATAATAGCCCTTCTTAATAATTAAGTGAATAATGTTATTCACTGCATTTATAATATTCTTAAATAAGTTTATTTAAAATTAAAATGTTAACTATAGCATCTGACTAGGAAGAATAAAATCTTCTCCATTAATTTATATCCTGAGTAATCTCTATTCCTCTGTATCCTAAATAAGAAAATGATAATAAGAATGTGATTAATATCAAATGTCTCACATAATACAAAGCCATTTTTGTTATGTAAGTTGTTATTCTATCACTATTGTAATTTAGTTTTATGTGAATAGTAACTTTATCAGGTTAAAAATAACCCCTAAAGTGTGTTGCTTAAGTTTAGTATAACTTATGAGAAAACTGCTGCCTGATTATTCCTTTTTTGTTTTGATTAATATAAGATACTTTATATTATAGGTAAGTGGAGAAGATAAGGAACTTAATGTGATCTAGCCTACCTTGTCCTGAAGTTAGTTGATTTAGAATTAATACTTCCTATCGGTACTGTCATATTTCATTTTGAAGGCTTCCTTTTCCAATCCTGAGGGGTTTTCCCCCTTCGCGTTAATACTGTTATACAGGTTTCAACTTATTTTTGTTGTGTATTATGGTTATATAACTGGCTTTCAGCATTAACATGAAAGGCCTCTGGAGTGTGTAGTCTGTAATACCAAGAAAAGTTCAGCTTGAAATATGCATTTTTATATTTTGTTTAGACTGTCTATCTGAGTGCCCACTCTTTCCTAGGCATTGTGTCCTAGGTGCTGGAAATAGAGTTGGGGCAGGTATAGGAGACAAGTTAACACAGTGAACACATGAGATACTTTCTGACTGTGGTAAATGCTGTGAAGGAAATAAACAGGATGACAAGAGAGTAACTGTTAGGATGGTTTGGAAAACTCTCTTTGAGAAGGTGACTGTTAAGCTGAACTTGCAGGATGGGAAGAAGCCAGCCATGTTAAGAGCTGGGGAGAGAGCTTTCCAGGCAGAGGGTACAGCAAGCACAAAGCGTTTGAGGTGGAAGACAGTTTTGGCCTGTTCAGGGAGCAGAGAGACGCCAGCGAGGCTGGTGTGGATCAAGCAAGGGACAGAGAGGGTGAGATGAAGTTGGGAGGTATGTATAGGCAGGTCATGCGGGCCCTGTAAGGGATGACAGGAGTGGGAAGACATTGAAAGGTTTTAGAAGGGAAGCTCGTTTTCATGTTAGCTGCTTATTAACATTGTATATTATTGTGTATAGTCTGTTACTGAAAGTCCACCAGCCTTGAGACTGAATTTAGCCTCCGGGGAGCTCCATGCCCCCTTTCCTGCCATGTTTTGGCTTAGTCTAGTTATAAGAGTACTAACTACTCTTGGGAGTCAGGATGGATCAGGACCTAAAAGTGTCCATGAAGGGAGTTATAGGCAGTTCCACAGGTTTTCAGAGTCATTTTTCACTCCTTTTTCAGCTGCAGCGCTTTAAAACACTTTAACATCTGACTTTAAGAAGGGTTTTTTACTTAAAGAACAAATAAATTAGGAGTTGAATTCTCATAATAGCAAACTATTTCTTATTTTAAGATGGAGATGTGAAAAATAATAAAGGAAATCTCATTTAAAATGGAGTCAGGGGCCGGCCCTGTGGCTTGGTGGTTAAGTGCGCGCGCTGCAATGCTGGTGGCCCGGGTTCGGATCCCGGGTGCGCATCGAGGCACCACTTCTCTGTCCATCCTGAGGCCGAGTCCCACATACAGCAAC